AAACTTACTCCTGATATAAACATTTAATATTATTGGTAAAGTTAATTACACGTTTCATTTAATTAAGTCTTAACCGATGAGATAAGTTTTAATAGAAAAAACAAAATATTGTGAGTTTAAACAAACATCAATGACTCGTTGAACGTTGCAAAATCCATTTCACTTGATTTTCTAGTTTGCCATTCGTAGGCCGTAGCCTTAACATAATTTAAATTGTATTTAATTTGATTTTTATAATTATATTATGGGCATTATTCGGTATGTCGTATTGCAAATTATAATTTACACGCAAGCTGTATTGATGGCGCTTAAGGAAATAGTCCATATTTTATACTCTGCCCGGCTGATAAATGGTAATTATTATTAGTACCAGACTAGCATATACTTTTACATAATGACACCTTTTTGGGTTACATCATATTATAAGTATGTGATTAAACCCTATATCGGACAATTGTACTAACACAATGTTATTATAAGTGTGGTTAATATGTGAAGGTTATGAACGTTACTCATTTTCGTAATGGCTATACGTCCAACGTGTTTAGTATAGGTATATTAAATAATTGGTATTTATCAATACCCGCAGCATCTATGGCGTTTGGGTACATAAGTGTTATTTACATTTCAAAAAAAATATATTAACTACCCACATTTAAAAATGTATTTATACCAAATCTGGAAAATATATAAAGTCAAATTCAACTAACAAATAAAATCCTACTTTTATATGTACAAATATCTAATAAATAATTTCATATTCATTTTTATTTTTACAAATTTAAATAGCTACTAAAAAAAAATATTTAAATCATTTTTGAATTTGAATTTTTAAAATAAATAAAAATCGGTAATAATTAAAATTAAAAAAAAATTTAAATAAAAGTTAAAATAATAAAAACATACATTTTTTATTGATTGTTAATTTTAAACAGTCATGTTAAAATGTATTTTAAATATAATCTATACTTGCCGACTCTAAACATAATAATATATGATGTTATTAAAATGTATTTTGGCATCAATTATTTATACACCTAATAGTGAATGTGTTTGTGTGTGTATGTGTAAAATTATAAAAAAACATTTGTTATGTTATGGATTCATATTATTATCCAGTTTGAAAATTATCACTATTCATAAGGTGAATGGGGGTGGCATATAATTACTGTATAGCTATTGAATGTACCAACACGTTATAATTCATATTTATTATCGTTTTCAATGTTGTGTTTAATCCAGTTGTTATTCGAGTAAAAAATTGTTACCTAACGGTATTATTATTATTAATTTCAGTTTATTAGTTATTTACTACCGAGTGATTTATACGCAAAAAGAAATCCATACTTAAGTAGCTGTGTGTAGGAACAACAAAACAACAAGATAACACATTGAATTCAAAATTCCGATTGCGTATACAGGGTGTAAGTACCGACTGAAAATATAGCATAGTGAATCCATTTCACGCTGTTTGCAAAATTGTGATCTTCTTCAAGGATATTATTTTCAGATTCCTTTTCTATAAATATTACATTTCACATTGTTACTATGTTTGGGCATCAGAATGATGTCTCTTTCTGGCATTTTCCATGAATATAACAAATTTACCGTGTCAACTTTATAACGACAAACGGGATTAAACAATTTTTTACTATCCATATATTTTCAGCGACGCAGTGCTGAATATCTAAGTAAAAAAGCAATTGGCCGGATCTTTAAATCAGTTTCCCTAAGCTATAGTTTTCTTTTATATGACTGTTTTGATATGTACATATTACATCATTTAAGGGTAATATTTGTGAAGATTTTATTTGTTGCCAACGGTGTACGTAATTTAGATTAAATTATAGTATTTACTTATGGTCGATAATACGTTTTTTTATTACATAGAGACCATTTAGGTATACTGAACTAACGAAATGGTTTTGTTGGGATTTAATCCATATCACTGATTAAAATAAACCTCATGAGATCAGAATTGTACCTACTCTTCTACTGTGATTTTTTATTTATTTAGAGCGCTCAATAAACACATTTAACCCGAATTCAAATAATAACTAAAAATAAAAATGAATACCAATGACTAAATAATAATGAAAATTAAGTATAACAAGTAGCAATTAGTATTACAATTTGGTAAAAAAAATCAAATTAATTCAATTTAAAGTTCATAATATTTGTTTACAAATCTTAAAAACAAAAATATAATCTTGTTCTAGCTGTTCTTGATGTTTTAACTTTAGAATTTCTATAATTAATATTTAATAAAAAATAGTTTTCAACTTGTTTAGAAAAAAAAACCACTCAACATATTATTATCCTTAGGATATTTACTCATCAGTCATCGACAAGGTAGACAACATTATGAAATAAATAAATAGTTAAAATGAGACTGTTTAGTAAAAAATACTTATGAATATTGTAGTGTAATATTCTTTAAAAAAATGTACGAACCTAAATAGTTGTTTAATTTTGAGGCATTAATCACGCAGTTCAAAAGAAATAGCACATCAAAAAAATATTGTCTGGACTCTATGAAATCAGGTTGCAGTACTTTTCCACGTAAATAATTATTGGTTGACCGGACATATAATTTAATATAAAAGCCTATATTCGTACTAGACGGCTTTGGATTTTATCTAGTTTATTTATCAAGCAAGTTTTTCTAACATTCTATAGCACCGAACCGAACTTTAATACCTGCCGCGCCAATCAACAATAATGTTATACTACTTTTATACATACAAGGCATGTTAAAAAAATTCTCTCAAAAAATGAATAAAATTTTTATTTGTAACATATAAAAATTCTTTCTCAGTTTTTCATTAAACTCAAAAGAGTAAAATAAAATCAGAAAAAATAGTCAAAATAATTACAATTATATACATTATTATTTTAGTATTCATTCTGTCTGTCGTTTGAAAACCCAAAATAAATTTCTAAAAACCACTTGGACAAAGCGTTTTTTGTGTACAAATTAATTATTGAATAGTTAATTGGACTAAGTCCTTATTCTCTAGTAGAGCCACCCATTATTATTTTATAATACATCACAAAATGAATTAAAAACATAAATTGTAGATTTATTTTCAATAAACAAAATGGATTCACATGTGTCCATTTTACATTTACTTAAAGAAAACCCACTCGATCCTACTATTTCGTTTTTAATTATTGTTATCGTTGTTTTAAAATAAATGTTTTGCTTGGTTTTACAGTGATTCATTACAAGGATACAACATTCATATACGAGTACTCTTAAAACAATTGCAATTTTGTAGTTTTTATTTCTAGAGATACTGAAGTCATTTTACAGTATAGGCAATATTCAAATTTTTATCATTTTCATTATTTTCCAGAGCTCTATCAACTTTTAAAATAAATGGTAAAGTATAAATTGAATTACTTTTTTTAACAAAAATAATCTGCTAAAAACTTTGACTGGTCGATAACCAGTTTTGGATAATTGCTTTTAAAGCTATTAAAGCTTACAATTCAGGACGGGAGGAAGGGTGGAGACGTTTTGTATTATTTTTATCTGCCGGCGTTACTCAACCGCGGTCCATCTCCCGTCTTATACTTTAAACTTTAAAAGTAATTATCCAAAACGAGTTAGTTAAATATGTACGTTACGGCGAATGTTTCAAAAGTCGATATATCTCTAGAATAATACTAAGAAAAGTGAATATTGTCAAAAAAATCATATACTTAAGTGTGTAAATATACATATACTAAGGCATGTAATGGTGTAAATATAATACCCCATACAAGTTTTAATAATATTTAGTATATTATTTATGTTATTTTTAGTGTCTCAAAAAAGAGAAAAACTACAAAATTGTCATAATTTTTAAGAGGAAACGAGTACTTTATCCTTTAATAAATCACCTTGTATGTTTTTCTTTTTTATTTAATACTACTATGGTTTTACGTCTTCATTATGTGATTTATTTGATTAAAAATGTGTCCAAGTCTTTTTTATGGGACCGCGATCGCTCAAACTTACTCAGACTTGAACGGTTCACATTTTTTTGTGTTTCGAACAGATTAACCAGGCCCCGGCAATGATAAAAATTAACACCGGGAAGACACTTGTCACACAAAAACGAGGCGGCCATCTTCTTAATGCTACACTATACTGTTATGTTATGTCTAAAGCTCATATGTTTATGACTTAGCTTATTTTTTTTGTGAGATTAGATTTATACCCAAGTACGATAAAAATTAGATTCACAAAGACTATAATATTTAAAATCAGTAATCTAATATTGTATGAGTTTTTATACAATGATTATTTCTAGATTTAGTAGCATATTTGTAAGTATAATTATTAAAAATGTCCCATTTTATTATTATGTTCAAGCCGCAATCGTGTTTACGAGTATGAGCTAAAGAAAATGATACACAATATGATAAAAGTATTAATCGAAAATTCTGATTATAAAATATTGTCCAACATTTCTAAAATAATCGTAATTGTTCTTTTAAATTTGAAAACATCACCAAAACCATTGTAAATCAATGTTAACCTGATACATCTAATAGCTTTATAAATAATTAACTTATGTAAAATGTTATTTTAATTATGTCATATCGGTGATTTGAAAACTCGGTTAGGTATATGTTTTTGGCCGATTTCAATAAAGGCATATAATTGCATATTTTAATACATATTTTATGGTAGCAATCACATCCGAGCTCTAGACTTATATCTATACATTATTACTATTATTTGTTGTGTATAGTTATAATACTAAATAGTCCGTCAAAAAATGGCCGTCGCTTTTTTTATTTATATTGAAAGTGACCCTTCTGCTTCGTCTATTCTGTGATTTAACCGCGAAGGGATATAATATAATGTTATGTCGTCGGACGTAAACTGGAGTCTTCGACAACGGACAAGCATAATATAAATATTATTGAACCATCGGCCGGCAATGAGTACTGACTACTGTTAAGAACGAAAGTGAAAGAAACATAATATTACTTGTGCGTGTGTCTTAACTGCTAGTCGTACGTTAGAGGGGCACGTGGTCGGCGTCTAAATATCAAAGTATATCGTTGTGCCGGTGATAGCCGAGGTCCTCTCATCAGTCCATGGCCGATACTCGTATAAACTTCTGTGGACGGTATACAACTCCAGACACGTTTCTGCCGGTTCGCCTCGTTCACCTGTACCTACCGCAGATAAGACGCTGACTTCAAAGCGAAATTAATTAGTCCGTTGGCTTTTTTATATACTATAAAATTATTTAAAAAAAAAAAAACACAGTTAATTATGACGTTATTCGGGTCGCCTTTGGTGTTCGGTTGTTTTCTGTTGATTTGCAACAGTCTCGTCCAGACGTTCGACTTCGACAAATGCAACTCCAAACACTTCACCGCCGACCAGACTGACTTTGCCGAGTGCAAAAATGCCAGCCAATCGTCAACCCGACATTTCGCTTACGGCGAAACGGGGCTGTTGAATGAAAAAAACGTCTCGGTCCTCATGCAGACCACCATTGACCGACACACCAATAGTAAGTACTTGGATATTACCTATTATAAAATTAAAACGACCCCAATTTTGCCACGACATACAGTAGACCAGTAGTTGACTAAATGACACCTCTTGATATACCAGACACTTAAATAATTTTAATATTAAGCCGATGTCATTACTTTATCTTAAAAATTATGTTTAGTCTAATAATACTGAGGTTTTTGGGTAATTTAAACTTAAATGTTAAATCGAACCGGCCTGTATACTCTCTGATTAAACCTTAAAATATTGTTTTGTAAAAGACAAAAAAAAAACGTTTAGATTTAATCCTTCTATAGATATTTTCTTCTACAGGAAAATTAATTAAATAATTTAGAAACTAACAAGTAAAATGTATTGCCTCAGAATTGTGAATATCAATATAATAATCAAAAACATTACAAATAAAAATATATACAATACAGAAAATAATACAATTTTTTTAATGAATGTTATTTTGTTAGGAGAGTTGATAAAGAAAAATATTTTAAAAATTGGTCTTAAAAAAAAAAATTATAAGTAAAAGTAGAAATGTAAATAAAACATAGCCATATCTTCAACTTCAAATAACTAGGTGTACCAAAGTGACATCATTGATTATAAATACAATATGTATTTATAATCAATGGTAACAGTAAAAAATAATAATAAATGAAATATACTTTAAACTTTATAACACTATGTATACATAAAATCATAGACCTGCGATATATAAGCCTAGACAACTAAAAATTATTTAAATTACAATTAATAGGTACAATTTACATCTTACTGTACATTGTATATAATTTAAAATAAATTTAGTTTCCCAATTGTAAAAAACAAATAAACATTTGCATATTATATGCAACCATCATATTTTAATTTGTTCAGTATATGAATTAAATATAAAGTACACATTACGAGTAAATAATGATGTGAAGGAATATTTAACATAAAAGTTACATTTTTCTTTTATAGTGTACCTACCGCTTAGGTACAATGTCGACAAGTTATATTTTTTTTAGTTTCGATGCGGAGCTGAAAAAGTATTGTCTTTAAAATGATGAGTGAATTTTTTTCTATTTACGGTAACTTTTATTTTATACAGACAAGCATACATCAGTGTATTAGATAATATAATTTACTTTCATTCATAATGTAAAGAAATAATTGAAATATGAAGTATGATATAATTATACATATGTAGGCAAAACAAAATTGTTTACAACGGATAATTAACCAACATCATTAAAGTATTGGCCCGTTTTAAAATTTTGTTTAAACATTATTATTTATCCTGTCAATTTTTGTATAAGCAGTGAGGCGTCTAAAAAGTTTGTGGTGAAATTGTATAACTAATAATATTAACTAAACATTTCGTTGGTAAAATTTCAAATTTAAACATCAAACATGCCGTTGACAACGCGCATGTGCGATAACGTATAATTATTGCGCTATTTCACATCCAATATGGAAATTAATATGGTAATAACTATTACTAATACACATTCGAGCCAACGTAGTTTTTCGAGACTCGTTATTCTAATAATAATTATCAGAAAAACGAACATTCGACATTGACATAATAAAATACAGCCGAACCGTTTGTTACAAAACTCTCTTTTTGCTCGTTTAATTATCTTTTACCGACCGAGTGGTTTATCGTTGTCGTGCGATTAAACATAGAACGAACACATTTTTATGTAGTTTCGATATTATGTAGTAGTTGAATAAAAAATCCATTTAAATATGTTTATATAAATATGTCCGAGCCAACGACGTGTAATATTTATTTTGTACAACAATTAATTGGTTTAAGTTAGGTTAGTTAGTTTTTATAGTAGAGTAACTTGTGGAGATGTGCCAAATACGCGTATTCGTGTAAAAGTAAAACTTATTTTATGAATTAATAATAGGTTTAGGTATAGTTCTAAAAAAAAATTGTTTTGAATAACATCTCCTCTTTTTCACATTTTTTTTTTTTTTTTAGTTGGCATAAATTCGAATCAAACCGTTAGATACATTCAATTGTAATTAATTTAATGTAACCTATAAACTCATTATAGCTTCATTATAATAAAACAAACAAAATATTTGATAAAAACATTTATATTATCGTTAAAAAGCCTACTTGGCCTATTTTTGTTAAAACACTATAAGTAAGCACTCGAGAAAATATCCAAAAACGTTTTTTTGAAAGGGTAAACGAACTTTCATGGTAAAACCATTAAGCGTACCGGCATAATAATATAATACATAGCGTTGATAATTATGCATGAGTCAGTCCGTTTGTATAGGTATGTAAATTCACTCAGAAACGCTGAAGAATCGCACTAAAATATTACTTTTTATTTTAAAATGACAATATTCACACACGGCGGTCGTTGAAGTCTCCTCGGACGCAGGTATAAATAATAACAATTCATTGCGTTCATAATAATATACATTATTGTTATTGTTGTTTTTGTTTTGTTGTTTTTTTGGAATTACCGGCCAACGCTCGACTTAATGAGTACGGTAGTATTCTAGTCACATTCGCGGCCGGAAAATGGTCCGTTTCGAAATAATTAGTCGATTTGTGAAATCCACCATTTGTGTAGAGGTATTATATCTATACTATACTATACCTAGCTATATAGTGTAGAATGTAGATACATAATATTATATGCTCTGACAGTGGTGAATACCCGCTATAAGCGAAACCGCGCGACCAGTTTTCGAGGTAAGTATAATACCAGTGCGAATAACCACACACCGCACCGCACACGGTCATTATACGGCCAGGCGGCGGCGCGTTAATTATTTTTCAATTGCACCATAATAATAATAATAATGATAATACGAGGTCCGTCTTTAGTATGCCGTATATATTTTTCATTTTTACTACAACTACATATTATTATCAATTGTATTATCTATCCACTTACCTGGGAGGGGTTAGAGCATCTTTACATTTCTGGACACGCCCACATTAAATTATCAGTGGGAAACGGCACTGGATCGCACAGTCCTGCCCAAGGATAGTACTATGCGTTCTTGTCAAAGGGTCATTACTCATTGTTTCTTCAATGTATTTACCAAAATTAATAATAATATTAATAATAATTGGTGCCTCTACTCTAGCATTTATTAAGGCAATTTTTGGATAAACATATAAAGATGTACCGTCAATGCAAGTAACTTGAGAATAACATTGCCCAATGTTATAATTTTTCTTTGGATGCTAATCTGGTGATAAAATTAAGAAATGTAACATTTTTTTATGATTGTGCTTCATTTTAATCGTGTAATCTGACGTTAATTTATCCCCAGACACATAGAAACCAAACAATGCGACAATATTACCCTCAATGGGGCAAAGTTACCCCAGTTGACGGTATCAATTTTAAAATTTAACTCTAATAACTCATTATTCTCGGTTAATTGATTATTTTTTTTTAAATATTGAAATTTTTTACGTTTTTTAATAATTTTTACAAATATACTTAAATTGATGCATCAAGCTAGTATTGAAAAATCTACATATGTTTTCTAAACTATTGTTGGATCACCCGTTTAAAGTATGCTTAAAATTAAAATAAGTTTTTTCCAACCAAAAGTATGCAGTTATAGAGGCCTCTTAAGAGGGTGCTACACATGTCAAGTTATTAGATTTACTAAAGATGATATTATTATTATTATTATTTTATAATAGCCTTTGTAAGTCTCTGTGGATAAAAAGTTTTATATTTGGACTATTATAATACAGTCTGCTTCTTAAATTTTTCACTATTTCCTTCATTATATTTTAACTATGCTGTTATGCCTGTAGTTGTCATAATCTTAAAATGTGGGCTCATCTTAAAAAATAATATTATACGTCGTACGTCGTACGTCATTGGTTATTTTCAATAGGGTAACAGCGCCAACGATTGACACTATAATCCAGTCTTTGTCAATGCAGTGTTTTTTATATCAGATAAAATTTGTCACATAATATTTTACATTTTTTTTCAATGAATTTTGTACAAAATATTGATCATAACGGTTTAAAATATCTTAATATTTTAGACAAAAAAAAAACACTATATTGCCAAATATTGGGGTAGTGCCAATCAATGGTGCCGTTCCCTACTGTAATTAAATCATTTTTTATTAAAATCATTAAGGGACCTCTACTCTAGCATTTTTTAACGCGCATTGTATAGGCAATTTTTGGCTAAAATTGTTTAACATACATATTACCGCAAAAAAGAAGTATCTATTTTGATAATTTTTTTTTTCAACTTTTATAACTTGTATAGGATCTATTTTTGTACATAAACACATGTTTTTACTTTAAACGTACTGTCCTTAAGAATACATCAATTTAAATTTTTAAAAAACATTTGAATTCTTCACAACCTTTTCAAGGCATTGGTCGTGGCACAATTTTTAAATTATTTTCAGTTAATTAATTATTTCAATATAAAAAAAATGCAATTTTTAACTTTTTCAACTAAAATAATTAATTAACTGTAAATAATTTTAAAATTGTGCCACGACCGATGCCTTGAAAATGTTTTGAAGAATTCAAATATTTTTTCAAAACTTTAATCAGAGTATTTTAAGGATCAGTACGTTTGAATTAGAATGAGTTGTTTTCGACCAAAAATACACAGGTGTAGTGGCCCCTTAAAACAGAAAAATCGACTTCCAGAATATCTATGCAAAATTTGACACACATTTCTAACATATTTTTCAGGTAATAAGACATTAATTTTATAATATTACATTTAATTATTATATATTTACTATTAAATTAATGATAATAGTCATAGTGCAATTCGTCGACAATACTTTGCAGAGGCATAGCAGCTATACTATATACTTTACATTTCAAACAAAACTATAAAGTGACATTAGTATTCGGAAATTCAACATTGGATTTCACTATTCTACGAAGCAATTGCACTGTAGAAAACTGGTTAATTGGTGTACTTGAACTGTTTTGGTATATACATAAAATACAATGACCGTGTGCAAGCCTATTAAATT